AAAACCACCCCTTACGCCCTCCCCCCCTTTTTAACTCCGTGGCCGGTCGCGCCCGACAGCCGCTGCCGAGAACTGGAGGAGCAGATCCGACTGATGGACCAAAACTTGAAGTACTTGGCCCAGTCTGAAGAAAAGGTATTACGCCCTTCCTGCCTGTCCCCCCCCAGCACCTCTGCTCTTTAAATTCTCACCGGACCCCCCCTCCTTCCCCTTGCCTTTCCCATTTTATGCTCTTTCAAATGCATCTCGCTCTCTCTTCCCTGGCTCTTTCAAAGGCTTGCGCTGGTTCTTCTGCTGACTTCGCCCGGCTTGTTTTATTTCCTCTCAAGCGGGGGGGGGGCAGCGGCAGTGGGCCCCCCCCTCGGCTGAGCCGCTTCATCAGGAACGGCAAAGCGGGTTCTGGGCAGGGCCGGAACGGATGCGACCCCGGCAGCTTCGGTGCCTTATCGTCCTCGCAACGCCTTGCGGGCTCTGTAGTCGTGCTGGGGAGGCTACGCGCGCATGCCCATGTCTAAAATCTCCTGCCAGCGCTCCCGTGAGACTCCCCGCCCCATGATTGCAGAAATGGAAGGACCCGCTGCGTGTTCAAATCACGGCCTTTCTAGCAAAGCTTTGTGGCACGATCCTCAGCCTGTTGAAGCAGCATCAACGTCTCGGATGCACCAACGCAGAAACCTCTTCCACCCCTACTGCCCCGTGGAGTGTGGTTTCTGGAGTTAAACTCCATTTTTCAAAATATAAATCCTACTGCATTAGCCCTAAAAAAAAAGGTGGGGGGAGAATGCCAAAGGAGTCTTTTACATATCCTTAAAGACCCAATTGTTGCTTTTTATGCCTGTATTTCCAGATGGACCCCAGTTGTGCTAAACTCAGGAGAATTCTGGAGTTGAGACCTTTCTTAGAAATAACAATTTTTTTTCTTAACCTCTCAGGTGCAGGTTGACTTATGAATCAACAGCAGCTAATGGTAAAATAGGGGGCTCTGCAGAATTCATGTAGTCAACGAAACCATCCGGGGAGGGACAGAAAAAGAACTTTTAAAACACACAGCGCCATATTATTAGGATACTCACCGGGAGATCAAGAGATTAGTAGACAGGAATGATATTTTTAGAACTGAAAATAATTAGTTCTCTTCCTCGCCTCTTACAGCAAGGAAGTAGAAATCTATTGGCTTTTTCTTGCATCCAGCTATATATATATTGCGAGGTATTTATAATTCTATACACACGATCCTCGCCTCATCTTTGGCAGTGAAAGGAGCAGTATGGGAAGTTTAACCGTGGTAAAACGGCACATTTCCGCCTATGTTGCTAAAACCACAGTTTTTTTAACCAAAGGAGAAGCCCCACTGGTATCAGGAGGAAATACTTCTGAGAAAATTGGGTTTGGGTGGCCCTGTTTCGGGAACCGTAGTTCTCCTTTAGAACAGAAGTGTCTCGAGGGAGGTATTGAGAACCTGAAAAAATAGAGAGAGATGTAAATTTTCTAAAAATATATATATATATTTAACCCCACCTTTCTCCTTAAAAAGGACAGAAGGCGGCTTATCTCTTTAGAAAACAGTATTTAAAGCTGAAAAGTGTAAGGATACAAAGAGAGGTTGCATTGTTAATATTTAAAGCTAAAAAAACCCGGTAAGTCTATAAATGCTAAAAGGCTTATAAAACCCGGGTACACCCCCCCTTTCAGAATCCTTGCCCCTGCAGTGTCTGCAAGGCGTCCGTTTTTGGGAAAGGGCCCGTCCCGCCCCGGGGTCCACGAACGCAGCCCAGCCTCTGCCGATGGGGAAGCCACAGCCAGCCTCCGTCACGCTCGTCCGTCTCTTTGGAAGCTCACACCACACTCTCTGTCTCTGATTCACGGATTCGCTCTTCTCTCTCTCTCTCTCTCTCTGGTCCTTCCCCTCTCCCCCCAACCTCCAAAATTCTTTCTCCCACCCACCCATCCCTCCTGTGGCCACCACTTCTCTTCCTTGCCTGCAAACATTTTCTAGTAAATGCTCAGAGCTGGAGGAGGAGCTGAAGAATGTCACCAACAACCTCAAATCTCTTGAGGCCCAAGCAGAAAAGGTAGGGCTGTTTTTACACACACATGCACACATATGCACGCACGCACTTCGGCCCTTCCCCGTGCGTCGGATCTCATGTAAGGGTGGCGTCTTGGGCGCCTCGGCTACAGTGGGAAGGGGATGACCCCCCCGGTCTCCTGAATGTTCTAGGACTCTGGGTCCCATAATTCCCGACCTGGAGGCTCGGCTGGGTAAGGCTGATGGGCACCGGAGTCCAAGGACATCTGGAAGGCTGTGACTCCTGCCCCCCCAGTCCTGATATTGAAGGTGTTCGAGGGTGGCCCCGGGGAGAGCCTGTAGCATCTGCCTTAGAGGGTCTGGTGAATCTTGATTTCTACAATTGATGGGATCCTCCGGCCGCTGATGGACGCCAATTCCTGGCATCCTTGGTCATCCGCTGGGCCGTGTGGGGCTGTTAGGCACAGTTGTCTTTCCAACATCTGGAAGGCTGCTGCAAGCCACTTTTGGGCTGCGCTGGCCTGGATGTCCGGGAGTGATCGTTGGGGATCCTCGGGAGGCCCAAAAGTTGGGAGCCGGTGGCCTGGAGCGTGCCATGCCACTCTGCTGGCTCAGGTTCAAAACCTGACTCAGGATCTCCAGGGGAGGGATGGGAAAAAAAGGCCACGCAAGCGGACCTGGGCAGAAGCCCCACCTTTGGGCGCCTTTGGGCTCTCCCATGGGTGGCGGGGGGGGGAATGCTTAGACGAGGATCAGTGAGTGGTCTCTCTCCGGTGAGAGACTCTCTTGGGCTTCTAGCTTTCCTTTTGCCCAAAGAGCTCAGAGCAGGGTTGAGGCTCTCGCAACAACCCTGCGAGGTAGTCTGGGCTCAGAAAGAGAAAACGCCAAGCTCTTGGGCTGCTTTCAGTCTAAGCCCTGTGGCCGGAGAAGGATGTGAAGGATGTCCATTTCCCTCGCTGCTCTGATCCCAGGACTGGGAACCTGTGGCCCTCCGGGGATTGCAGGACTACAACTCCCATCATCCCCCCTCACCCATCGGCAGTCATGCCTGGAGGGATGGGAGTTGTATGTCAGCAGCCACTGGAGGGCCAGCCTTAGCCTAGCCTGGCGGTCATCACTATGCCAGCCTTCTTTAAGCTCCCCTGAGCTGGCAGCACCCTGCCCATCGTCCCCAGCTAGCACACCCACACTCCCTGGGGATGATCAGGACACACTGGCTATTTCACAGCGTCCATCTTCAGTGAAAGAGAGGAAGATTTTTTTTAAGGTATTTCAGCCAAGGGTGGTGTGTTCGGATCAGGCAGCGGGGAGCCCTCTTGCCAGCAGGCTGTAGTGTCTTAAGAGAAGATGAGGTTTCTCAGCTGGACCCTAACGCACACCTTCTCTCCCCCCCAGTACTCTCAAAAAGAGGACAAATATGAAGAGGAGATCAAGATTCTCACTGACAAACTCAAGGAGGTGAGCAGTTCAAAGGACGAACCGGAGCAGGTGGCATGTTGTGGACGTCTTGAGGACTGAAAAAGGTCTTCCTCGTGCGTGTTGGGAGCTCATGAGCTGGCAGGGGCCCCTGGCTCAAAAGTGGGGATCTCGTAGAGCCGATTCATGGGACCCCCATTTGAGTCGCAACTAGACCTGGGGATGAATAAAAAACAAATCACAATATTCGTGAACTGTCGCTGATTCGGGAGATATTCATCTCTTCGTATTCACTGGGTCCGAAGAGCCCAATGACACGGGGATGAATATTTACCCATTTTTTATTCATCGCTTCATGCGTGCTGGCTCCAGGATGGAAATGGGGTTTGCCTTCCTGCAGCCAGCCTGCTGGTCAGTGTCCTGCGGATCAGCTGATGGTTGGGACATTGACCAGCAGGCTGGCTGCAAGAAGGGACAGCCAGGGTTCAGTTAATGCCGAATCGACAAATATTTGTCCCTAAAATTTGGTGCTTTGTGGCTTCGTCCATCCATCAACTTTGACAAATGACAAATCCTGACCAATCACCACTCTCCCCTCCCGATTCGTCTCTATCTCTAGTCGAAGCCCCCAGGGAGCGGAGGATGCTCAATAAGGGCCCAGGGGGACCACCCTTAACACGGAGCCCAAGCATCCCGTACCTTGGAGCCTACTTTCCACCCAGGAATGTGCTTTTAGCGCCAGGGCATGGCCCAGTCCTTTCACGCAACAATCCACTCCTGGTTTTCCCCTGCCCCTGATTCATTTTCAGTTCAGGGGCCTCCTGGGTGCAAAGATGGGGGAAACACATCTCTCTGTATTCTGCCTCCTGTGGCTCAAAGATCTTCTGTGTAGCCGTGCAGCAGCTGTTTCTAGCCACCGCCAACCCCCTTTAGAAAGCCAGGTGGTCCCTTTCCTTGCCTGATCCCCGTTCTCCTTCCCGCCACAGGCCGAGACCCGTGCCGAGTTTGCCGAGAGATCCGTAGCCAAACTGGAGAAGACTATTGATGACTTGGAAGGTAAGCTTGAAGCTGCCGGTCAGGCAACTGGGGGGGAGCCCGCCATCTCCCAAGGGAAAGAACGAACGGGACTTCTTGGCACTTCTAGAATCAAAGGAAGGATGCCAGGAATGAAGGCGGGAAGGTGGCCTTGTGCCCATCCTCCTCCCCCCCCCCCAATCTGGGCATCCCCTTGCCCACTGGGGGAAGAGGACTCTGAACTGGAAAGGTCTCTGGTTTGGGGTGTTCATTTTTCATTACTGCTTATCAATAATCAGGAATAGAGCTCCTCTGCTCAGAGGCAGTCTACCTCTTAAATCCCAATGACCGGGGAACACAAGCCAGAGTCTTTTTATTGCCCGCCCACCCCCAGCTCTGCTGATGGACTCCAGAGAGGCCTCTTACTGGCCTTGGAGGGGAAGAAACGGATGGCCTGATCCAGCAGG